GAGTTAAACTGTGAAAGTCCTTGTAGTGTTATGAATGTAAACATTTCTACGGATTTCAAAGGGAAAATGGAAAAAGTGATGGAAGAGATACGCATTTTAATAACACAAAGAAACCACATCTGGCTTAAGATCTCCCTCAGCTGTTAGGAAGCTGCAAAAGTGAGGGTGCTCCACAAGGGAACATAAGTGAGGAGCCAAGGGTTATCCCAGCACACGGAGCAGTGACCTCACCACCCAGGGCACAACTCCCAAGCAGCTTGGTGGCAGTGACAAAGTCTCTCAACAGTCTAGCAATCATTAAAACAATAGGTCTTACTGGCCCTGACCAGCCTCACCTGGGGCCTCCACCCACACCCACTGCAGGAGTTCTATTTAAGCTCAGACCAGGGACTTCAGTTTCTGCGTGAACTGTGTCATAGCTGTACCTGTTTCTAATCCTGTTCATCAGCTGTTTGACTTTCCTGCTTTGCACCTGGACCTGACATGTTACTTTATGTCTGCCTTATGATCACTGAACTGTTGATAGGACCCTTTTTTGACACCACTCCTTAGAGTCACCCAATTCAAGAGCTGTGGGACTGCACCTTCTCAGTGAGATCATTTCCCAGCCTTTGTAGTAGCCATCTTTGTCTCCTCGCTTGTTCCCTGCTGTGGAAAAGTCTTGCTCTTGCTGCTCTCTGGCAGTTAGTTCAGGCCTTCTCAGTCCCAAAGTCAAGGGCCGTGGCGCCTGGCCCTCAGACTAAGCCAGGGCTTGCCCCTGCAGCCTCCTTGCTGCTATGTGTCATAAGACTTGACCCTGTGGTGACCTTGCAGTTTCTGTTTTGACCCCAAACCCTTGCAGGAAGCTGTGATCAGTGTGCAGAGGCAGATCTGTAGGCTTCTCTAACCTCCTCTGCACTCAGAGTGACTTCCCCTGCCCACCAACTCCTTTGGTGCCTTTTAGGAGCATCTAGGCTTTGTTATGCTCCAAATCAGCAGCCCTCAAGGAGCATCTCAAGGACAATCTGGTACGTGGGTTGATCTGACCCTCCACCTCCACTGGCAATGCTCCGCATTTTATGTCAAAAAGAAGTATGAGAGTTTCTGGCCTTTCACAGGAGCCTGCCAGCATAAGGTGACTTCAACCTACCTGGGATCCACATGCCAGCAGTTTGGGTCCCCCAGATACCCCAGGAACTCCACCCTGTGCTGTTGAAAAGAGCAAATCTCTGGGGTTTGACATGAAGTCACCATTGCTGCAAGTGACTCAGGACTTCTCCAGCATAGTCAGTGTGCCTCTTGAGCACTGGAGAACATGAAGATGCCAAGAATACCACTACAAAGTTAGCAAGCAGGCTGTGCAGCATCATTTACAGAATGATGGAAGGTGGTCAGAGCATAGAAGAGACCAAATGGTATCACAAGATCCTCATAGTGTCTGTCTGGTTCAGAAAGCAGTTTTCTGTTCATTCCCTTCTAGTATGCAGGGACTGCAGAGTTTCTCAGAATTTGTCAACTTCTTTTAATGATTCATAACAGGGTTTTCCAGAATCATGGCTCCTATAACGGCACCTACTTGGAAGGGGCCTCACTTTCTATGCGCATAAGTACATGCAGCTTCTGAGGGACTGAAACAGATATTCACCATAGCCTGCCCCACAGTCCCACTCAGGCCTTGGCTGGCATTTCTTTGTGGAAACAGATGCCTCTGGGCCACAGGGGTCATACTCTCCCAGAATCTAGCTCAAAGCAGGATCCATGACCTTACGTCTTTTTGTCTATGCAGCTCACTCCCACTGAGAGGAATTATGACACCTGGGACAAACAGCACCTGAAAATCAATGCTGCCTCTGAGGAGTGGTAGCACATTCTTGAGGTAGCAGCAGAACCAATAGAGATGCTGACCTACCACCAGGACCTGGATATACAACTGAGGGATGAGTTGCTTCTCTCCCCACCTTGTCTGCTAGTCTTCCCTCTCTCCACACTTTGTAAACTGTCTATTCATCGCTAACGTTGGTTTCCAACCCAAGAGTCTGCCAGCCACACCAGCTGCCTCACAGGTACCCACACCAAGCGACTGTCAGAGCTGGCAGTTTGTTGGTGCAACTGAAAAGACAGCTGCCACTTCTACCACCGTTAAGGAATCCTCTTTTCTCCACTTGTGCTCTTATTCTTGGGATGAGAAGTGAGGTGGATGGTACCTATTTCCATAGGCTCCTCCTCTGGGGATAGTAAGGAAGGTGGAGCAAAGTATGTTGGAGCTACTCCAGAGGTCTGCATATGTTCTTCCTGTCAGAGCCAGGTGTCGTTCCAGTGACAGACCAGTCTGACAGGCTGCCCCAGGCTCTGGGGTAGGCCAGTCCTAGCCATCTCACCTTGAGGGCCACAGACAGCCCCAGAATTTAGAGGGCCATAAGGACTTGCTATTCACACTCAGTTTCCACAGTCAACTCTGTGAACTGAATTGTGTAGTTAGTGGCCAGCTACTTCCCCTGATGGAGTTCTGGCAAGACAACCTTGGCCACTGCACTGAGGTCCCCCCAGAACTGCTCCAAATCAGTAAGACATCAGGTTTTGGAGCCCAGGGGCATTGTCTTTCATGTGATCACAATCCAGTCTCAAGTTGCCCTGAGAGCTGGGAGGTTAGTACTGCTGACCCTCTGATGTCCCTTGGGATATACAGCTCCTGCATAGGCTGTAAAGATTAGCCACATCTAACACATCCTGATATCATTGCCCAGTCTCTGCTGAACGGTTCTGGAAGATCACAGAATTATACAATGGTTTGGGTTGGAAGGGACCTTTAAAGATGAACTCTTCTGCCGTGAACAAGGACATCTTTCACTACAGTAGGTTGCTGAAGATGGGGAGCAAAAGATGTTGAAGCAGCCTGAAGTGCTGTGCCACACCTCTACACGTTGACCACAACTTCCTGCAGCAATTTGAGGTTAACCTGCAGGTGATGGGGACCTTGAAGGCCAGGCTCCATGATGACAGTCAGCTCAGGGCTTGAGATAGCCCAAGCCACCTGTCAGGAAGCAGCAAGACCAGGGCTGCTCTGCAAGGGACGGCAGCCAAAAGCTGAAGGACAGGACAGTGATCTCACCGACCAGGACACAGCACCCAAGCAGGGCAGTCTGGTGACGAGAACAGATTCTGTTGATAGTCCCAGTGATCACCAGGTAAATGTGAGCTGGCAGGTCAAGTCCAAGTGCAAGCCATGAAATCCAGTCAGCAGGAGCTGCAGGGCACAGGGCTATGCACACGCCTGCCAGCTCAGGAAAGGGCTGGAGGCCAAGGTTTGAGCATAAACAGAGCTACCCTGCAGCTAGGCTGGCAAGCCTGCACCGGCATGTATCAGAGATGCCAGGTTAACTCCAGTGCAAACCAGAGAGGAGAAATGTAACATAAACTAAGAAACCACAGGAATTGGCTCCAACAATCTTGCACCTTCTAACTGGCGCTCAAAACCCACATCCAGAAGGTGTTAACATCAATGACCACAGATCATTTTCACACTTTTTCTCCAGGCCCTGCAGTCACTCATTGCTACGCCCATCCTGAAAAAGTTGCGCAAAAGATTTAGGAAAACTTTTAAGGGGTGGAGAAGAAACACAAGTGCAGGAACAGGCGAGAGAGAGGGTAGAATCACACTTGCCAGTTCTTCAGACGTGAACAGAAATGTCAAAAATAGGGCCTGTGAGACCACTGACTCCCAACTGATATAAATGAATAAGCATTACAGCATTGCAACTTCCTGATTAAAGACAAGGACAGACTCTGTTCATGGATTTCTGTTAGTTTTACTTTAAATAAAAGCCTTATACTGAGACGTGGGTTGCAGTCTTTAACTGTGAAAATGCCTGAGATGATCCTAAATACAAATTGTAGAATTCAGACTATAAAATTGTATTTTATAGATAAAACTTAATTTTTAGAATGACGAAACTATATAGTTACTCAATTAACTTTCAGACTTAAAATTCAACTGTATGGATTGCGTGTGTTATCGGAAACCAAACAGAACCACCAATGAAGATGCACTAAAAAGAGAGGTAGATTTAAAAAATCTGGTATTACATGCCCAAAACCAGGTATTACACTTGAAACAAAAGCTAAATTACTGTCACATGTGCATTCACTGCATTAGGAGAAAAGTATTCCCCAGCTAAACTATGCAGAAAAGTTATACCAAAAAGTTACTGCAAAAACTGGCAAAATGTCTTTATTGCCTGCTTCAGATTAACACCTTCTTTAGAAGTGTGCTGCCATTTAGAATGAAACATTAAATAAAGGGGTTATCATTTAAGTCTCTACAAACCAGAAACTCTCAGATTACATCCTTAAGCATTGCAGATTATCTGCACAGACATCGAATTTCAGCACTAACATTTTTGCCTGAGGTAGTGTGATGTCCTTGGGTCTATTCTAGTCTCTGCTTCCTCCTGCTCACACACCTGTACACTTGTTTGCGACACCCAGTGTGATTACATGATGCAATTTGAGAAGTACAGTTAAAGGTCAACAATTTTAAAACCATACCATTCACATCCCTAATGGTGTTTATTTTTTTTTAAACATGCGTTTAGTTAGACTGTGCCATTTTCTCCATACTTCAGTTGAGATAACCCTTTAACTTAAAAATTACTGATGAACGTTATAAATACATAAAGCTGCACTTGTCTTATGTGTACAAATCCATATTCTGTATATTTAATCAGTATAGTATTAAAATGTGCAATAATTTCCTGGTAAGTTACTGCCATTTAACTATGCATTTTTCAAAGGCACAGTACACAAAAGAACTCCAATGTTGGCGGATCAGGCTACCACATGAAAACTTTTAACCTTCTGAGACAGTGAGACAAGTTTTGCTCAGTCTCTGTATTGAGAAACATTAAGGCAGCACAAGAAGCATAACAAGGAAAATTCAGATGTCCCAGGATCTTCATCATAGTCACAATAAATACTGGTGCCCTATACAAGTGAGATACAAAGCTGTAAAATATCATATGGGAATACAGTTTTATCGTGTTAATCTGCGTATGTATTGGTACAGCTGTTCTGTGAATGCTTCTGAGGAAAATTTTTCCATAACTCTGGCTCTCCCAGCTGCTCCCATTGAGTCCTTTAAGAGAGGATCTCTCACAATTCTTTCCATGGCCTCAGAAAATTGCGTCGGCAGAGGATCACACAAAAAGCCTGTAACATTATGCAAGACTGATTCTAAAGGACCACCTGAATTAACTGCTATAACTGGACATCTCATATACATTGCCTCCAGAGGAACAATGCCAAAATGTTCATTGCTTGGTGTATAAAGTACACACACAGAGTTACTGTATAGAGAGTTTTTCTGTTCGTCTGAGAACGACCTTAGGAAGGTGACATGGTCATTAACACTAAGCTTGGCTGCAAGTCTCCTCAGCTCTTCATAGTGCTCCACGTTTTCCAGAACTCGTTTGTCATAACCGCCTGCCATAACCAGGTGAACTTCATCCCACTCATGAGAATCAAGTCTTCCTCGAAGCTCATGCAAAGCTTCAAGAGCCAATGCTAAATTCTTTTTTCTTTCATACCTATTAATGGAAAGAAACAGGAACCTCTTCTTTTTGGATATCAGGTCAGCTATGTCCACAGGAACTACTGTCTCAAAGCTACTAGTGTTGAGTGATGGGTAGAGGACATCTGGGTTTATGTGAGATAAGGATTTAAAGGTGTCCTTGAACACACTGGCAGTGAACTTGCTGTTCACAACAATACAGTCTGCCATACCAGTTGTGTACTCTTCCAGCCAGTCGAGCGGCAATCTGTAGAACAAAAATACGGTCGGCCATCCCAGTTGTGTCCTCTCCCAGCCAGTCGAGCGGCAATCTGTAGATGTGCTTTAGGAAAGATTCTCTCTTGGTCAGAAGCTGATCAGGAAAATGACAGTAAAACAAAACTTTCTTACGGGTTCTGGCCAGTCTAAGTACAGGAATGCAAGCAGACACCTAGTGCAACCAGGAGAGACAGAACAAGAGGAGATATTAACTATCTGTGTTAGTGCTGCTGGCAAGTACATGTGATTTCAAAGCTATACCCTGAGAGCCAGTCCTTTGCAATCCAAGAGCCCTCTCCCGCTTCCCTCCATTAGGGCACCAAGCAGCACTGCTTCATCCAGGACCACTTGCTACGGTTCCCGATTTCATCCCTCACCTTGCTTTATCCGGCCGACAAGACCCACCCTCCTCCCCGCCCAGGCC